ACTAATCCCAAGTGTTCTAAGTGCTCTTCATTCTTGTTGTAAATCAAAATATCATCAAAGAAAACTAACACAAACCTTTTCATATATGGATGGAATACGCTGTTTATCAGGGATTGGAAACTAGATGGAGCATTAGTGAGGCCAAAAGGCATCAATAAAAATTTAGTGTCACTCATGCGTTCTAAATGCACTCTTGGGAAAATCTTTGGGCCTCATTCGGATATGATGGTACTTGACTTCATATCATCTTCGTGAAAAGCATTGCTCCATAAAGCTCATCAAATACTGGAATAATAAACTTGTCTGGCACAGCGTCCTTGTTCAACGCCGGGTAGTCCACGCAAAATCTCTAACTGCCATTTTTTTCACTAATAGCATTGGATTGAAAAATGAACTGACAGTGATCAAATAATCTCTGTTTCCAACATCTCCCTGATCAATCTCTCGATCTCATCCTTTTGAAATTGAGGATAACAGTACGAACGAACATTGATAGGTGATACTCTTTCCTTAAAGATGATAGCATGCTCATGTTCTTACGGAGGAGACAACCCTTGAACTGGTTGGAACACCTCTCAATATTGCTGTAGGAGTGGCTGAACCATGTTTGGTGCTTCTCTCCATTCTCTTCTCTTTCTAAACTCTGCAGCTCTACAAAAAATCCTACTCCACCTTGGATTACTCTCACCATAGTATTGAGTAAAATCATAATTTTGGATAGGCTAGGATCCCCTTTTATAACCACTTTCCTCCTCTCAACCATGAACTCCATCGTTAGGTTCTTTCCATCAATCTTGGTCTTCCCCAACTTTTGCAGCCACTTCATCCCCAACATCACAACTGTGCTCCCCAAATCTAATGGCAGAAAGTATTCCAATACCTGAATATCTGGAAGGATTAGGACCACTCCTTTACAAATTCCTCTACTCTCTACTTTTCCTGTTCCATGTATAACCTCAAAGCCCCCCATGTCCACTAATTTCAGTCTCAATTGAAGTTGTGGGTAGCTCCACTATCCACCAGTACTACCACCTCCTGATGCTCGATCTTCCCCTTAACTTTCATGGTATGGTTTGGTGTGAACCCGACCACTGAGTTAAGGGATACCTCTGCAACATCTAATTGCAGTTGGTCATCTTCCTCCTCTTCTTCCTCTTATGTAGCATCTTACTCATCGTAGACTGTCATGACCTGTAACAAACGTTCCTTACATGGTGGCATGGAGCGAACTTCTCATTACATATAAAGCATAAACCCTTGGTCCTCTTTTCCCGAATTTCTAACTTAGTCAACCTCTTGAACCCCGCTGGCCATACTCCCTGACCTCTATCACTCGGGGTTTTCTTTTGAATACGCACCGTTTACACCTTTGGTGCCAGAAATGTAGTGGTCGTGCGGTAGTTGACTCATGAACTGCTTCTACGTCTACTCCTCTCCAAGGAGTTTTTGTCCTCCACCAGCTATACTTACTCCATAGCCTTTCATAACTAACATGATCTCATACTCGAACAACTACTTGAATATTAGGCTTAGGCCTCTTCATAAAGTTGCCCTCTAGCACAGTCTCTAAAAACCTTCCCGATTGGCTCAAAAAATATTTGAACTTCTCCCGGTACTTTATCATTGTCCCCTCCTGTATCAGAGCAAAGAACTGTTCATAGAAGTCTTTTTCTTGGCTGGTTCAGAAATGTTATAGTAAATAATCTTTGAACTCCCTCCATGATCGAACAGATCTCGCAAGTCTCTCCACTTGTACCAAGACAGAGCATTCCCTTCCAGATATAGAGTGGCTGCTTTGAGTTTTTTATCTTCAATCACTCAGTTTATAGTAAAATATCGCTCCACCCTATAAATCCACCAGTGAGCATCTTATCCCTGAAAAATTGGCATCTTCAACATTCTCACTCTAGGATCATCACTGCTCCAATAGCTTCTTCCCCCTCCAGAGTAGCGGATGTTGTGATCCCTTCATGTTTCCCTCTCCTCCAAATCAGCTCTCCTATCTTCATCATCACAATTTCTTTGCCGACCACACCCTTCACACGTTCCCCTCCTTGGAAGTGGTTCTAAAGTTGTCATCTCCTATTCTTCCCCCAAAAATTTCACCTCTCGTTCCTCCCTCATCATCCTATATTAGGGTTTCCCCCACTTGTCCAGCCAATGATGCCCTAGCCTCCGATGATGTCATTTTGGCTTGAAACTCTAACTTCCTTTTCTCATTTCTTCCACAAACAAGGCTTTGTTTAGAAGAAAATGTAAAACATCTTTGATATGGATTGAAATAAGAGATATTAGACTCTTGGGGTCCATGATTAGTTTTGATGCTGCTGAGAAGATCAAGTTTATTGGGGACAAGTTGAAAGCATCATTAGATAAATAGAGAAAGTAATGATTTGAAGCATCGTGCAATAGAGTTTCAAGCTTGAGATTTTTCCTTTGTGAAGGTTCAATCAATTGAAGGGTGTCAAAAGATTTGATAAGGAAGGAAAATTGAGTTCAATGTATATTGGACCATCTGAGATGACTGCTTGAATTTGAAAGACTTCCTTCAGGTATCACAGTCAAAGCATATAACCAATGTTTGCAATGCATTCCACTTCTCTTTATTGAGGAAGTGAGTTACAGATGGCTGAGAAGATCAAGCTTATTTGGGACAAGTTAAAAGCATCATTAGATAAATATAGAAAGGAATGATCTGAAGCATCACTCGATAGAGTTTCAAGCAGGAGATTTTGTCTTTGTGAAGGTCAATCAATTGAAGGGTGTAAATATATTTGATAAGGAAGGAAAATTAAGTTCAGTGTATATTGGACCATCTAAGATGATCGCTTGAATTTGCAAGTCTTCAAGTATCACAACCAAAGCATATAACCAACGTTTACAATGCATTCCACTTCTCTTTATTGAGGAAGCAAGTTTTTTTTTTTTGATGAACTGCAAAATGCATTAAAAATAAAGAAACCTAATACAAACTACTAATTGATAGAATATCTATCACTATCATTAAAAATCCACCAGTGAGCATCTTCCCCATTACAATCTAATTCTTGCCATAAAAAATCTCCTTTCAAAGCAAAGTTAGCACATAAGTCGGCTAACTTATTACATTCTCCATTTGCAAAATGAAATAAAAAATCTCCAAAATCCTTAAGAAAAGAGAAGTCTTCCCATCCAAACTAGTTAGCCACACGATCATCTTTGACAACCGAGTTTTGTAAGTGTTTTATGATGTTCAAGTTGTCTCAATCAATAATGATACCTTTAGCATCCATCATCCACTCCTTGATAATTCTTCTTAGCGAACGAAAAGCCAACAACTCTAAATACCCATTATCCCAATGCATATATCTGAACCCAAAAGCCAACAAAAATCTTCCTCTATGATCTTTGAAGATACCCCAACTCCAGCTTCATCAGAACGAAGCAAAGTTGCATCGATATTGACTTTAATCCATCCGGGTGGAGGGGGATGCCAAAAAGAGGAAATCAGCTGTATATGCTGGGTAGCACCCTAGTGGTCCGAATATAGATTAGATTTTGAAGATATTGATGGAAAACTGATAGCATTAGAAACAATGAAGCCCAACCCGAGCTCATGCCCTTCATTTCAAGTTTATTTCTACTCTTCCAAGAGTGAAAAACTATAGAACAATATAAATTAGCAATGAAAGGATTCACCTTCGCTAACTTTCTCAAATTTTTCAAACAGTCCTGAAATGTTGTAAACACTGGAATTCGAATGCCCCATTGATTGACCAACTTAATAGTTTGAATTAGCTTTAAGCATTTAACTGCAACATGCTCCATTGAGGAAGCAAGTTACAGATGCAGAGAACAACACTCCAGAAGTTAAAGATAAATTACAATTAAAAATAACTTGCAAAGAGGATTTCATTATATTTTGACTTATGACATAAAGCAATTAGAAACAAATAGATTCTTCTAGTTAAAGTGTAATGAAAGCACCATATCGATGAGGAGCAACATGGGAGGAGTTTGAGATGGGGCAATTTTATCTATATATATTTGATTGTGTTGTGAGTGTATTTCAATGTTGAGGATTGTAACACTTGTGTAGGTTGTGACATAGTACTAAACTAATGAACATCTAATAATTTTTTTTTTTGGTATTTTTCTGAAATATAACTCCATAAGCATGTTTATTGAGATTGTATGAGACTTCCATATGCTTATCACATTTTAATTTCAAGAGTTTCTCTCTAAATGATTAGGTAATTATAAATACGATCTTTGGGTCATATTGATGTTTAGGTCAACAACTCTAGTATGATGGAATGAATTGTGGTATGATTGATACCTTGTCATATATGATTGGCTTTTGGCAGTCACTTTGTGTCGGATTTGAGAACATTTTTTCAGTATATTTTTGACTCAATGTGGTATTTTATGGTATTTTGTTTCATTTTTTTCGGGAATTGATTTTTAATGTGTATCAATTTGCTAGAACTTTGCAATTTAGAACCTTGAATTTTTCATATTTGTAAATTTACATTAGCCATTATTTATATTTTCATTTCCATTTCATTGCTATTCTAATTAGAACTAGTGGGAGGAGCGAGAAATTGGGGATGGCGAAAACATTATTTGGAGGTCCTAAAGTTAATTTCAGGGTCAAGACAATTCATTGGATGCTATCATCATATCTCAAAATTCAGCGATTTCATCTTATTTATTTTTTGTGTTTTCATCATATGGTCTTTACTAAAATTGGGATATGTTGATATTTTGACAAACTTTTAGCATGTATAACTTGTGATATTTTGTTATTTTGGTAGTTTTGCACATGCCTTAGTGGTTATTTTTTATTTTCATCAGGTAATTTGTAATTCTACAAGTCATGTTGTAGGTTGAATAGTGTTTTACAAATATTAGATCCTTATTGTTGATTGCATAATATTCTTTGATCATATCATCTATTATTGCATAACTTGCATTCAACCTACATTTTTTATGTGGTTCGTATGGTTGTACTATTTCAGGTGCTGTTATTCCAAGCATGTGTAGATAATGCACAATGATATTTTTGTGATCCTACAGATTTTGGAAGTGGATTTCTTTGATACTGGTACTATTTATACACGCCAGATTAAGCCTGCTACTTTATTATGTTGTTTTTGTTAATTTGTGGTTGTACTGTTAATTCATTTAACAGTTCGGTCGTGATTTGCCATTTGAATTGTATGAGCTATTGGTTGTTGGCTATGCTCTATAAGTGATGGGGAATGTATACATGCAAAGTAAGTTTAGCTAGCACTTGGGTTGGCTGAGTTGGTTTTGTTTTCTACGTAGCTGGATGAACTGATGAGTTTTCTCTAAATTTTAGAGGATTTAAAGATGGCCTTATTTCTCAATGGGAGGCATATGGTTGGTGTGTTCCTGATTTTAACTGTAGGCTTGAGGTGATGACCTTTGTATAATTGTTCACCTGAGATATTTCAATAATATGCTTAAAAACATGTTGTTATTTGTTAATATCTGGTTTTAAGTTGTACTCATGTTTTGATATTTAGGCTTTATTATTAATGTTAAACCGCATGTACGCATTCTGGTTTGCACATACGTTTCCTTTCAACTTTCATGTCATACATCAAATTTATTCTCCAACCTAAAAGCATGCATGTTGCCTTACGTTTGCATAGTTGGCCCTAGAAGTGGTCTTATGCCATACTAAGAACTCATACATTTGCACTACCCAATTTAAAAATTTATTAGGATCATGCATATTATCATTAGAAGGTGCCTTAACTTTAACTTTCCTGGAAGGATTATTAAAATTTTCATCATATTTATTGTGGTGGTCCCCACATTCACATGAAAATGTGGCTTTCTTAGCAACTAATATTCCTTTGCATTTGGGTTATGCTTGTCGGGTAGGTTATGCAGGTGTAGGAGTTGGGGTTGGGTTTGTAGGGGTTAGGTTTTGCATCTGTGTTATCAAAACATCTGTTTGATTCCTCTACTCTTGAATATGATGCATACTTTTATGAAATAGGTTTCTAGCCTCTATAAATTCTTATGCCTTAATTCATGGAGCCTAGAATTTATTGCTTCTTCCATCTTATTTATACGGTTATACCATCAACTTGGTCCATAGAGATTTTTTTCCCCTTTTTGAGGATAGGGCCCTTTTTTTTTTGAATGCATGCATTGCTCTATATGCAAGGGAATGTTTCATGCAGATTTTAAACCCTTTGTACTATTTTTGCATTGGCATGTTGCATAAAATTTCTCAATGTGTGCTTATGATAAATCACATGTTAGTTCAAAGCAAAATAAAATTTGCTTGCGTGTGGGTTTGTACTCTTGGTTGGTTATTGATTTGTATGTGGAACAATCCCTTACAAAGGAAATTACTCAATTTTATGGTTTAATGGTAAGTTTACTGTAAGCTTTGTGATGGAGGCAACTAGTTGAAGCTAAGTACATAATATCATTGGCTTTCCACAAATATATAATAATCCTTAATTTTCTTCTTGATTTTATTAAATAAAAAAAAAAGTAATTAACTAAGTTCAAAGTTAAAGATTATCCCTTGGTGGATGATAAATCCGCTAACCATAACTACTAATAGTTCAAGCTCCAATTGCTTCATGTGCTAAAATGGCCAAAGTTTAGCTTTAGCTATAATATCAAAATTGACGTAGCCTTGGAAGGTGGATCCAAGGTTTGCACTTGCTGTAGTGAGAGGTTAATGATGGGGTGAACACTCCTAGATTGTTTGAGGAATTTTATTTGAGATGATCAAGAGAAGAGGGTCAGTGAAGGACTTAGAACAAGTCAATCCTAGAATTCTTTCTTAGGGTTCACATTTAGGGTTTCTTATGGTGGAAGGTCTAGGGCTTGAAAAATTTTGGAAATGTTGCGGGCTTTAGGAGAGATTTGGAATATTTGGTGAATTCCAAGTGGTTTAGAAGTCAATGGATGGGGATCAAGACTAGGTCTGGGTAACCTAGTTTGGAAAGTTTTGACTAGTCCTAGAAGATTGAGTTGTCGAAAGGTCTTAATGGTAAAAGCTTGGAAGTGTTAGATGAATTTGTGGAGCTCATATTTGGAGCATTTGGTGACAATCCAAGGGATTTGGAGGGTGATGGAGGGGAGGGGAACAAGATTAGGTGACTAGAGAGCTAGTGTGGCTAATTGCTTATGGAGCAGGGTATGATTTGTTTGGTGGTTGTGGGGTAAGAGAAAGTCTTGGGAGGTGAGGGAAATTCATGGGTAATGTTGGTATGATTATAGGAGAAGGGAGATCATAGATCAACAATTATCTGAGGTAACTACATCTTCCTCTAAAAAAGAACCTAAGGGAGGGTTGTCATGCCCTAGGATATATAGTGAAAGAATTTCTTTTCTTCTCTTTTTTAGTATCTATTCAATTCATTCTATTTCTTTTGGCTTAAATAATCAGATGGATAAACATCCAGATCAAATTGACTCCAGAACTGAATAATTGCATTAAAGAAAAATCAAGAAACAATGAAAAATATAATTCACATTATTGTAGCCATAATTACATCATTCAACCAGAGTTCAAAATAATATTTACAATAGCCACATTGACTACAAAAATATATAAACCAAAAGCAGAAATGAAAACTACACTAGCATTGATGCACAACCTCAAGCTGCAGGCTCCTACTCTAAATAATATGATGTAAATAGTATAAAGAAATCTATGAATCAATATATGTTATATGTACTGATCACTTATATCAATCAATCATTCTTCTAAGTCTATTAGTTATATGTTAGTATCAATATTTGTAGTTAATAATGGTAAGCAGTAACAATAATTCGTACCCGTATTCAATAATCAATATCAATAAATAGTAATTAGTATAAGCACAATAATTAATATTTTATCTGATAGTCAATTGAGGGTATCTTATATCTTCTTTGGCACTTATGAATCTCAATAAGTCACCCATTATGACTCCGATCAATGAACTCCTTATAACTCCTCTTGAATCATGTGACAGTCGCCTCGACTTCTTATAACTCCCAATCAATTTTCAACTCACTCCCATCCATTGATTCCAATCAGTGGACCATGTAGATCTTGAGGATATCACATGGGATAATCATATTGTATATCTGATATCAATCAGTTCATCATAGCCATACATCACATCAAACTAAGACTAGTAGCAATATTATATTCTTGCATAACTCAATCTTATAAATCATTTCGGTACATATTACCTTGCAGTCTTTATCATGTCAAATCATAGTACAACGCTTTTCAATCAATTTCCAATCTACCTTTTCCCCTATTCAGTTTACTAAAAAATTCCTATACACATATTTAACTGGTGAAAATATAATAAAATCATATCAAATCGTTTAGAATGATCAAATCTAGAACTTATCAAAAGTTACACCGTGAAAGCTTACGAAATTAAGAGATAATGTATTTTTGGTAGATTTAAGAAAGATAAATCCGTATAAATCAAAATCATGGAAAACGAAAGGAAGATGATAGTTATTTACGATGATCAAAATACTTTTCACAATAGAAGTGGCTGATGAAAATAATGAAAAACGAGCTTTCTCACTCCTTTTTCTCTCCTTTTCCTTTCTGCTCCATTTCCTTCTCGAACAAGTTATGGTCGAAATTGGAGAGGCGGCGGCGCTGAAATACTTTAATGCTTAGGTTTAGAATAAAAAATATATAAAAACATTGTTAGCGGTATAATGCTTAGCACTTCATGTTAAATACAAAATTACTGTAGAAAAGAAACTCAGAAGTTATAGCGGCATTTTCTAGCGCTGCTGTGCTTTCAAACCTAGTGCCACAAAGTTCACAAGTACAGTGCCGAAGCGCTCCAGTTCAAACATAGAATTCAATAAAATCATATTTTAAAATACTTTATATTTTATGTTGTTATAAGGGCCCACCAAACACACAACCCAAGAGAATAAATTCTCCTTTTTTGGTCAAATACCAAAGCCCCTTTATTTATTTAAGCAAATATTTAAACTATTTTATCATGTTCTAATGTTTAAAACTTAAAATATTAAGAAGGGTGGAAAATAAAAGTTAGCGGGAGTAAATAAGGAAGTGCAGTGGAATCACACCAATTCCACTCTCAATAAGGATTGGTCCGCCCTAACCTTTAAACAAGGAAAACATGACTTAAAAAGCTTTAAATATTGAGGGAGAATTAGAGGTTGAGTATTAAGATATTAAAATTTAAAATTTGAATTTCCATCTTTAATTATCATTACAATTTCAATACTTTTCATATTAAGGTATTTTATTTTAGATTCTTGGTCTTGATTTAATAGTGTGGTCATTAATATCTGCTTCTTGATATTCTTCATCAAAATGGTTGCTAAGGTTTGAAGAGTAGACAATGCTCAACTTTTAAGTTAACTGAAACTAAACCACTCTTTTGTGGTCACAAAGACATTCATAATTTTTTTTTTCTTATTGTATGTTAATATTCTCTTAAGGAAAATGCTTTGTAAGATACTTACATTAGCACTGTTTATGATTAGTTTGTAATTATGGCTATATTCCCGATAAACCTTTGGTGTTAATTTAGCTGTTCAATGGTTTATATTTTCATGAATTCTTTGTTTTTTTTTTCTTTTGGAAGAAAAAGCTGTTATGATTTATTTAGGATTATTATTGGTTGCAGAAACAATATTGGCTTACAAGTTATATTATTTTATATTTAGCTTTGTTGCACCGATATAGACATGAGAATACAGACATGACATAATATGAAGATTAAATACATCTATTATTGAAAATATGGGTCACACATTATATTGAATGGGAACCTCTCTAGTCTCTCTCTCTCCCCCTCCCTCTTTTTCTCTCCTCCCTCATATCAGACAAATTATTTATATGAGAACACAAACATGATTTACATGTTTCAGTTGTCTATTTTGAAACTAAAAGCCTCTTATTAGTCTTCAGCTCATTGCAAGTCCTTTTTCATTGTCACTATTCCACTTAATCCATCACATGTGTGTCTGATATAATGTAATTTCAGTTATATGACATCAGATGTAAGTTATTAAATGAATACCTAGTATATCATTAACATTGAAGGCATTTATTTTTCTTTTACAACTTAATGTGGTCTATTTTTAGTGCGCCTCTCTTCTCCTTGTTATAGGTGGACCTTAACCAAGCCATATCAATGGTTTCATATTATGCTTCATCCTCTGAGCCTGCACAGGTTCGTGGCAAAACTGTCTATATTCAATACTCAAATAGGCAGGAGATTGTTAACAACAAGGGTTCTGGTGATATTGCTGGGAATGTCTTACTAGTTACCATTGAGGGTGTCGAAGCAGGTGATGTCAGCATAGATGTGATTCATCTGGTGAGTTTTGCTCATGTATTTGTTTCTATTAAGTCATGCAAAGTTGCTTTAGAGTGAAAAATTATGGAATTAGCCTCTGCATTTTGATTTTCTTACTCGTCTGTTGAGGTAGATGTACTTTTAGCATTGTATTAAGTTTCTTGTTCTTTCTTTTTAAATTTTTATTTTTGTTGGAATTTCTGAGATACAAGAAGATGACTTGCGTGATCAACAGATCCATGCAACAAGAATTCCGTTATCAGGCCTTGGCTTTCTTTTTGTTTTGATTATACCATTTTTAACTGTTAACCTAACCTTGCACGCTTTATCTATGGAAAGTTGTATTTTATATGCGGGCTTTTTGAATATGTGGGATATAACTACGTCAAATTTATTGTCTTTTCTATGTGCTATTGTTTGTTTTTGAAATGTTAATGTTTATATAATTTAATTTTGATAATCTTATGTATTTCCCGCCTCACTGTTCACACATAATATTGAATAGATGCAAAATATGTTAATTGTAATTTGATTTCGAACCGTGAGTAGTATAACCTAAAGCTTAAACCAAAACACCCTAAGTCCTAAAAAGCCTTAAAATTATAAAACCTAAATAAGAAAAAACCCTAAACTCGAAACTATGCAACTCCTAAACCCTAGGATTATGGTTTTAGGGTTTAGGAGGCCTATGCATTTTATTTGTCTGTTAAGTATGACTCCCCTGGAGTTTGATGTATACCCTGTTTTTGCCTACAAACCACATAATTATTGTGGCCTTAGCCCCTTGGGCGCATGGGCTAGCTGAGATGCCACCTAAGTGCCTTACAACATTTGAAGTGTTTTGCATAAAAGAATGAGTACTATATTAGACTGTGCTCTAGCCGCACTTCAAATGAACACCTTTTTTTAGTCAATTTAGTTTAATTAAGCAATACACTGTGCTCAAGCCATGAAGTGCCACCTAAGTCGCACCTTTTTTTTAATGGAAAATGCTAAAATTGTCCATTGACTATTTATGAAGTACTAAAATGATCTCCAACTATATTATAAGGCCATTTTTGTCCCACAAGTCTTTAAAAAGGAATCCAAATAGTTTCATAGTGGGACTATTTTGATTCATCTTTACGGAGTTGACGGATCAAAATGGTTTTTTAATATAATTGGGGACCATTTTGGTCCTTCATAAAGAATCAAAAGACCACTCTTTTTTTTTCTCCTTTTGTCTTGGTTAAGATGGCAGATGATTTTTTTTTTCTTTCAAATTGTTTGATTTGTATATTGTATATTTTGTAGGGGGTGTCAAAATGGGTAAACGGGATGGGTTCGAGTTCGACCCAAATCTGGGCAATTCGACATGACCCGATAACCGATTTTGATTTAATTTTTTAATAATTTTTAACAAAAAAATTTAGATTAATTAATAAAAAAATAAGACAATCATACCAACACAAAAAATCTAAGTAAAAGTTGATATAAATGGGTCATTTTGAGTCAAAATCGTGTAGGCAGGTCAATCTGAACCCGGCTCATTTATTAAAAGGATCAACCTGAACCTGGATTTCTTGGGTCGAATTTGGGTTGGCGGGTCGGGTCATTTTTTTACACCTGTAATATTTTGATTAATTATTTGTAATTTTGTATGGTAAGCTTAATGCTAAAAATGCAAAAGCAAAAAAGTGACGCTTTTTAACCTCTTAGGCTGTCAACATAGAGCTATGATGTGCTTCATGAATTTGTATTTACATACTATTGATAGTATTATAAATGTGTGAGTAAGATAGCAGGAAACTACAGCAGAATTTTATGATTGTGATATGAATATCACAATATAATACAAAATGAAACGACACATAATACAAAGAGGATAATATATTTGATTAGTTTTATATTTGATATAGATTGAAGCAAGACATCAGTTTGAACTTGCGTAGTATTAGAATATTCGAATGTTGTAAAATTTGTTAGAAAAATCATTGAAAGTGTTAGAATCTTTCGTAGATCATGACAACTAAAAAAATGTCAACATGTTGTAAAAATTATTTAAGTTTTCTTTAAAACGGTTATGATTTAATTTTATTCCATTTTTCCTCAGTAAAATTAATTTTATTCCTTGATGCGTTTTGGAAGTAAAAAACAACAAGGTAACAAGGAGGAGAAAACTATAGGAATTTGAAGATAGGGGTTGATTTTGATTAATACTTCAACAATAATGAAATATACAATTGATCTATTATTCAAGAGGTAGATTAGCTCTACCACAAATCCTAGATGCCGCTAGGAACAACTTCTAAGAAAACTATAGCAAACATAAATCACATATGAAAATAAAAAACCTAATTATCCTTAAATAAACCGTCATATTTTCCTCCTGAATATGAATTCAAATCAGCCCTTTTTCCCTTAATAAACCCTTCCTAATTCCTCCTAAATTTGAATTCAAATCACCCCTCTTTCCCTATATAAAGCCTTCTTACTTCCTTCTCAAATCTGAATTCAAATTAGTCATCTTTCCTTATATAAACCTTTCTAAATTTTCTCCCAAATCTAAATTCAAATCAGTTATCTTTCACTAAATAAACTGAGGAGGACATCAGCAGGAGATTTTGGCGTGTCTATCATAGGAGGAATCGAAGATCGACGGCTACGATTAAGATTCTTTTTTATGATGGATTTTATATATTTTTTATGCTTATATTTTAGTTTTTATCATTGTATCCCAATGCGGGATTAGTTTGTGTTGTATCTCTGAGGACATTTTATTCTTTGAATCTCTTTTATTTTGAGGCTTATATATGGAGGCCTTCGCTATTGTAAAAGGATGATGATTAATGAAATTTTTTTTTTCATTCTTATTCTCATGAGTGTTGAGAGCTCTAGAGAGAGGAGAAGTCCCTAGGTGAGGGCTAAAACAACTCCCACTAGCCACAGGAAGAGTCTGGGCTCACGGCCAACTCCCCCACCTCCTTCCAAATCACCGTCCGCCCTCTCCCTCCCCTCCTTACCGTCGGCCAACACCTCCCACCGCTTACAACCGCCAGCCACCTCCCTTCTTCACCCAACCAGCCGGCCTAAGCCCCAACTCGTCGGCCCTACTCCACCTAACCCCCAAGCTCCTTCCCCTCCCATATATGTCGGCCTCCCTAGCCCAACCCTAGCCGCCGGCCAACACCCCACCCACAATCAATCTCATTGGCTCCAATTTCAAATTGGCCCATTATTACCTTCTTAATTTGGTTCAAAGCATTTTGGGAAAACCATTAATTTGAATTTCAAAATTCAAATTAATTTGAAATTCAAACCTTCCCTCCTATTTTGAATTAATTTAGAATGCTGCTCCATCCTTTAATTTAATTTGAATTTTAAATTTTGAAAGACCCTTTAATCCTTTCATAATTTAACGCTCCCATTATGGAGTCATTCAATTCCCCCCAATCAAGTTCCCATTATTTGGTCACCTCTCTCTCTCTCTCTCTCTCTCTCTCTCTCTCTCCACTTATAGCCCATTCCTAATTGAACCACAATCAAATCTCCCCTTCTAAGGACCGGCCGCCCCTCCCTCCCTCTCTTTTGGGAATTGAAAATTTGAATTCCCTCCTCTCTCTTCTCATTAACTCCAATAAATTACAATAATTGTTGGAGTTAATTCTCAAATTCTTTTAGCCTCTCTTGAACCCCTCCTCTCCTCTTTCTCCTTACAAGCCGCCGGCCACCCTAGCCTCTCCCGCAAATTGGAGGAACTATCACCCCCATGGAGGGTCGACCCGAGCATGATCATGGATTCGTCTTCAATCCTCAAGGACGAGTGGACGTTCTGAGGTCTCCCTTCTTCGACATCAATTTTGAGATCGACCACACTGTTGAAGACTACATAGATCGGATCTTCTTTCCTTCGACAATTGCCATTGACAAGCATCAGCTTCCCGTTCAATGGAAAATTCTCCAACACCCACCCACGATCTCCTCTCCGAATAACTCTTTATTGAGCAATATTGTAAGTGCCTGCTGTTTGTGGTGGCGTCGTTAGTATTGTATAAATTATTCTTCCGCTGAAATCTCCATGAGTATGAGTGAAGGAAACTCATGGCGACCGTTCTAATTGTTAACCGGTGGATTCTTGTGATCGGCAAATTAAGCACTTAATATTTCTTTTGTTCTTATTTTAAGTTCTCCCTACTCCTTATTGTAATTGCATACTATTATTAGATCTTTAATTGAGGAATCCTAGAATCTAAACTTGTGAAACATTAACTTTTAATTAGCAAGCTTAATAACTTTTTATTATTTTCACGCAATTCCTGCAACTACTTCATGTTTCACATCATAAACTTTCCTAATTATTTCTCCCACAATTTCTCATCCTTACATAGTGAATATTAACTCCTATGGACCCCATAAGGTGGGCCTCTTGGCATATCAATACTTCCCTCCCAAAAAAGCACCTTGGCCTTAAGGTGGAAGATGGGAACAGTCACCTGATCATCTCATATGGCTCCCATGTGACTTCGTACTCCGGCAAATCCTTTCACCTGATAAGTATTTCTTGAACAATAAACCAAGGATGTTGAGAATGAATTTGCAGATCAATAAGATCATTACCTGAGATGATTATTTTTTTTAACCTCTTCAATTTATGGTTGAAAGTTTTGTGTTGCTCCTTTTCATTGTCATCAATCATTCTCATTTTCAGCTTTCTCACCCTAGAATCACTACTGCTCTAAAAGCTCCTTCCTCCTCCAGTATATCGGTTATCGTAATCCCTCCATGTTTCCCCGTGTATCAAGGATGAGAATCCCACCTTTCTTCTGCCCGCCTCACATGACCCTATCCCCATGGCTCTGCTTGTCATGCTCCTCTGGTCGTCCACTCCACTTGCCTAAAAGACCTCCCATAACACCTTAAGAGCTGACTCTTGACCTCTCCTTCAATGACCCACTCCCCTTGCCCAAAATGTCTCTCACAGTGAGCGATCATCCTACCACCTCCACCAAAAATTTTTCTCTTTGTTGTGCCCTCATTCAAAAACTCTGTTTCCTCCTTGCTATCCCCTCATCCGGAAACCCCCGATTTGCCCCTTATCAGAGCCTCAGGAGGTGACTCTTGAAGAAAGAAACTCTCCTCTTGAACTCTTCTACACAATCTCTTTTCCCTTAGATTTGACCAAGGGAATCTCGGTCAAATCGTGGTTAGGGTTAGCCATCGAAACTTCTTTCATCTCAATGAGCTTCTTCATCATCTTCTCTAACCTTCCAAATACTCTCTCCATCCGATTCTCCATGGTTGAAAATCTTCCTTCGAGGGTTGAGAATTTCTCCTCTACCATGGATTTGAATTGCTCCATTTCTCCTTCCACGCATTCACGTTCTTTGCTGCCATTGTCTCCCAAAAAACCTCTCTCGGATACCAATTTGATGCATTTTGGAAGTAAAAACAGCTAGGTAACAAGTAGAAAGTTATAGGAATTTTAAGATAGGGGCTGATTAATAGTTCAACGATAATGCAATTACAATTGATCTATTATTCGAGAGGTATATCAGCTCTCCCGCAAATTCTAGGCGACGCTAGGAGCAACTCCTAAGAAAACTACAACAAACATAAATCACACATGAAAATAAAACAACCTAATTACTCTTAAAAAAACCATCATATTTCTCTCCCAAATTTGAATTCAAATCAACTCTCTTTCCTTTAATAAAACCTTTGTAATTCTCTCCAAAAATTGAATTCACTTAACCCCTCTTTCCCTAAATATAACCTACCTAATTCTCTCCTAAATCTGAATTCAAATCAGTCCTCTTTCTGTAAATAAACCTTTCCTAATTTCCTCCCCAATCTAAATTCAAACCAACTATCTTTCTCTAAACAAACTTTCCTAATTATTTCTCCCATGATTTCTCCTCCTTACATAGTGAATATTAACTCCTCTGGCCCCCCAAGGTGTGCCCTCCCTGGCGTATCAAATACTTCTACCTAAGCTTAAGACACATCAAGCTACAAGTCAATAACCTCATTGAACTTACCTTTTTTAGTGCCCGCAAGAAAGAGAATAAAAAGGAGCTTTAAGGTGATTTTCTGAAGCAATGTGTTTCTGTAATTATTTTTTCGTAAGCTATTTATCTAATTTGTTTGGCTCTTGCTTATTTGTATAAAGCATTATCACCATCATCATTAATCTTGTCCCTGCCATTTAGGGACGGAGTAATAAATCTTTCATCTCCCTTAATTTGTTTTGGGTGTTTCATTTCACAGATGTTATAGGCAACTTTTAGCCAGGTTATCTTTGTACATGCTCATACTACAAAAATTTAGTTTATTTTTTGAACTTCATTTTATGTAGATGCTACTCAAATAACCTCTTTTTTTTTGTCACACATTCATCTTAATATTCTCATCTCTTAATATAGGTTTTATTGATTTATTTTCTCCTTAAATTTTTTGCGATACTCTTTTTCAAATAGTATTCATGAGGCATTTTTTTATTTTAAAGTTTCATCCTTATTCATTTTCACATTTTTTTATACGATGATTCAAGTTCTATCCATATTTGATTTTGTTAACATTGTTAATTCATAGGTGCTATTTGGTCCTCCAACATTGCTAACATGTTCATAAAATTCAATCTTTGTATATCATGAATTCAATCTTTGTTGTACTACTCAGTGGCCATTCATGTTTGAAAAATTATCTCCATTGTTTCAGCTTGAGAAATAGTATCACCAACGTGCAACAAGTTTTCTTAACATGCATTAGCATGTTTCATGCTATGTATTTTTTGAAGTATCTTCATGACCGGAACAAAATGTTATGAACTTAATATCAATCATTGTTGTAAATTGATTGTGATGGGGAACTCTTTGGCCACCCCAAAAATATTATATGCCTAGTTGTTCTATTACTCATATTTTAAGGACACTTTTTTCTCGCACTTCCTTTCAATTATTTTTCTTGATTCTCTATGATTCTCCATGATATGATTTTTCAAGTAAATTAATACTCCGTATAGAGTAGCCTATTTTTATTGCTTTAGCTATGTATATTATTTATTTACTTTGAATGCATTGAGATGCCCCAAATATTTAGAATAAGGTAATGATTATGTTGATGATGATGATTGCGTTGAGAATTTGGGATGCTAAATGCTATTTTCAGTTTCTTTTTTGGAATTGTTTTCGTGTTTGTAATGTTAAACATCTCACTTCATTCCCAATGATGCCATTCTTGCTTTTGGTTCTTGGTGCCTTAATGATTCTATTCCGCCTAACAACTAGGCTTACATGTTCTGCATTAAACCTGTAAGGGTAGAATTACATAATCCTACATGGAGTTGATACCATTGTTATGTTTTAATGTTTGTACATTTTAATTCTGTTTAAAATTCCATTTAGGTTTTTTCTGCATTTGGATTTGTTCACAAGATTGCTACGTTTGAGAAGGCAGCTGGATTTCAGGTCATTCATAAAGAGCTGTTCTTGAATACACTAAATGACTCTCCATTTGGCATTGAGACTTAAAAAAATTATGTTTTGTAGGCCTTGATCCAGTTTACCGATGCAGAAACTGCCTCAGCTGCTAGAAATGCGTTAGATGGAAGGAGCATTCCAAGGTTCCATTGGGTTTTCTTAGATTTGTTGAGGCAGGAAGTTTAGTTTTGTAGAAAGCTACTGATCCAAGTTCTTGATTGCCAGATACTTACTCCCACAACATGTTACCTCGTGCCACTTGCGCATATCATATTCTGCACACACAGATTTAAATATCAAATTTCAGTCACATCGCAGCAGGTATGCATTCATGCAGAGACGATTAAATGTTTGGATGTTTGGTTGTAATCTAATGCGATATTGATCTCAATTTTTAGACCTTTATCATCAAGCAATTGACTATCTTGTGTTCTGGCTGATGTATTTTTCCCCTTTTTAATAGTTTTAATGAGGTAGGCTGCCAAAATGCAGATGTCTTTTGCCCTGTCTGTAATTTTCTCTGTCACCGGGCCATGATTTGTTGATCATATGAAATTCTGTATATCAATCTGTATGCTGAAGGCAACATTGATATATACAAACTATAAGTGATTCTTCTGGCTTTAGGAAATCCTATTTGATTGATTGTAGGTTTGAATCTAATGTCGTAGTTCTACCATTCCTTTTCATCTCCATATTTGACTAAATGGAAAAAGAAAATATTTTAATAAGATGCTTGATTTCTTTTTATGTGCATGAACTGAGTCAAACTTTCTTGTTATGTGGTTAGAGAAGGAACGAGTGTTTTTTCTTGGAATTTGTCCTAATTTTTAATGTTTCTTTTTCTGTGTTAAAAACTTGTCAATAATATGTACTGAACCAAACGAATGTGTGATTTCTTGTCATGTGAGTAACAAGGAGGTGTTGGGAGGCGGGGGATCAATGGATGTGAAGAGAGATCAGATGGATAACCTGCAAGTTTTTTATCTTCTCCAATTAAGATGTAGGAGAACAGATTTAACAAACTCGTGTTATTAAATGTTATTGAAGACTTGAAATTTTCATGTGCAGTGCAAAAATGTTGATGAAATAGGCTTGTAGAACTTTTTAAGAAGAAGCTTGAGACAGTTCCTGCTAGGCGTAGGAGTTGTGTCTCTTATCTGTGCAAGTTATATGTGATGTTCTCATTTCTAGAAGCTTTAACTATAATGAACACTCTTCAGTCCTAAATGTTGGTAATATGTTGATTGTCTTTGGATTTTGCTAAGAATTTAAGTAAAATCTTTTTTATTGTTTGGAATCAGAGTGATTGAATATTTCAACCCCAAATTAGAAAAGTCGTGTTTGATAGTAATTTTAATACTAAATTTAAAATTTATTCCAAAATTCAAAAATCTAAATTTCGTTATGCACATGCTAAAACCTAATATGATTGTGATGAGAAGTATGGAGGGTTTGCTATGATGCAGCTCGGAAGTGATTAAGGCACAAGTTAACTAAATTTTGGTGAAAGTACAGAAGGTTTGTCTAGAATGTCGTCTGTGAATGACTTGTCATAACCTAATTATGATAACAAAATGGACTAGGTTTAAAATTAAGATTAGATTCACTATATGAAATTTGTGGATATTGAATGATAATCCAGTTGAAATAATATATACAGTGATCAGAAGAAGAATCAATATCACTTATTTACAAGCAACTAAATAGGAAGAGCAATTTAGTGATGTAGGAAAGTTTATGAGTTATATGTTTCCTTAGTTATATGAAAGAAAGTTAATTATAAGAATAAGGTAGGTGTAATTGTAGATTAAGGGCAATTAATAAGAATTGACAAAAAATAAAAAACACGGTAAAATAAAGATATCATGCAGTACAAGCTTTACTAGCCAGCCTAGCTTGAAGTTTGGTGAAAAATTGAGTGGTGATATTTTTTCCTTCTTATTATGACCCTGTCTGATGAATAAAATATGAAAGCTCCTATTTACTAGTACGTAGTCACTTAGACTACTCCCATTAGAATTGAGAGGAAGCAATGAATTATGAGCTTATGCCTTGACCAATATGAGAGATAGGAACTTGCACAAGAGGATCACTATTCACATTAATTGTCAATGATGTTGATGCTGAAATCGAAGGATTATTAGGGCCAAGTTCCACTGATGAAGGAGAAATGATCATTGAATGTGAAGGGGTGTTATGACCATTTGGGTGAACTTCGTGATCCTGAACATAAGATGTTCTTAAATCCGAGTGGGCCATGAAGCTAGTCAGTTTGAATGTGGCCAAAGATTTTATGGAAAGAGCAATATTGAGGGGTGCCTTCAAATTCAACATTTTGCCAATAATTGCTAGACGGTGTACCAATCCACACCATGGAAGGACTAGAAAGATGAGCAATAGCATCATCAATTTGCAAATTTTTACCATAAAAATAGATCCTAATGAATATGAAGTTAATTGATTAAAGTAATTTAAGCATAACCTAAGAAAATCCACCCAAATAGGAGTGACAAGTGGTTCCTTGGAGACATCAAATGGGGAGACCACTTTAGCATTTGCATGGGAAAGCCATTGATGTGGTATGTATGACGTGAAAAGAGCATGGTGCAATCTAACTCCAATGAAAGTTGGATAAAAATATGATGATGGTTAAAACAATCAATTGAAAATTCACCAATCATTGACAAATTTGACATAAATTTACGAATGAAATCCATATTGGAATGACTCAAAAAGAGTTTTTATACGATGTTGAAAGTGAATGGTCGAGCAAGTTCAAAGATCTCAGCTGCAATGAAAAATAAGAGCAGGTTTGCATTGGAAGGTGAGTTAGAGTGGACCACCAAAATCCTAGGAGCTATAGATGCAGGAAACTCAGAGATGTTTGGAATAATCAGGGTTGGGGTGGCAGATGTGGATTTTAGAGTGGACTAAAAAAACCTTAGTGGCCTCCAAGGAGGGAGATGGAAGAGCAGTAGGGAGCAAATAGATGGAAGGCTGAGATGAGCAAGCCAAAATATGTGAGTAGACGAGTGGAATAGATTTTGTGGAAGCGAATATTGATTAGGAGGGGAGAGCAGAGGCTGCCACCTTATAAAGATATATATTAGCTATGAATGAGCTTTCAAGCAAAGGATAGAAGACGAGGAGGTGATCCCTCGTGCAAGTGTGAGGGTTGGAGGATGTGTGTACCTGAGCTAGCCCAAAGACGCAAGTGCTGCGAAATGGATCCATGTAGGTGTGCTAACATGGGCAAGCACACGAGGAGATGAATGAGAAAGCACATGCAATTGGCGAATGTTCACGAAGGGTTGCAAATGTGCACTAGTAAAGCTAGAGTTTGCCTACAGAGTGTGAGGTCTTTGGTCAAGGAACATACACTAATGAAAAATAAATCCAGGTAATTAATATAGTGATTGTTATTAAGTTGGGGTTTATTTGAGATCACTTTATTTATTTTTTAAAAACATATATGTATAGTGTGTTTTTTATTTGTTTTCATTTTTTATTTTTAAAACACTCAAAACAAAGTATTTTAAATATAAAAAAAAATTCATCATCAATCATTGCATCACATCAATAATCATTGCATCACATCAATCGACTTCCAATTATCATGGTAGTGGCGAACATTGCCATCATCACTTTGTTGGTCATCGTTCCCACCTCAGTGAATACTTTTGCTACCACCTGATAAATACAACAACAAAATCAAACCTTTATGCCATTATGTGGGTTTAGCTACATGAATTCTTTATGCCCATTGTGTCTTGTTAAGAGTCAAATTTTCATTTAAATTTAATAGAAAAAGGTCATTTCTAATACTTTCTAACCAAGTCTTTTTAGTTATACCTCTACTTTTCTTAGTATAGACCAAATCTAATACATTTACTCTCCTAACTGGGTTATTGGAAGGCCACATTTAATGTGACGAGATGACTCTCTCTAATCTTATCTACCATTGGAGCTACTCCAACCTTATAATGTATATACTCATTTCAGATTCTATCTCTAAGAGTGAAGCCACTCATTCACCTGGGCATCCTCATCTCTGCATCACTTAATTTCATGCTTCTCTTTTAATGACCAACATTCTGCACCATAAAGTATTGCATGGCTCACCACCATCTTATAGAAATTTCACTTAATTTTGAGTAATTTTTTTCTGTCACACAACAAGCCCGATGCATTCCTCCACTTCAACAAACCAACTTGAATTCTACTAATAATATCTCTATCTATTTCACCATTACTTTGAATAATAGACCTAAGATATATAAAACTTGTACTCTTTTTAATGACTTGATCGCCCAAAGTGATAATGCCCCCACTAGATTTATTACTTCTAAAATTATATTTCATGTATTCGATTTTAGATCTACTCAAATGAAAACTTTTAGACTCTAAGATTGACCTCGATAATTCAAAATTTCCTTCAATTCCTTCTTTGGTCTTATTAACAAGAATAATATCATCAACAAAAAGCATACAGCAGGGTACATTCTCTTGCGAATGTCTAGTAAGGACATCCATGACATAAGCAAAAAGATATAGGCTTAATGCTGAACCTTGGTGTAATCTAACTAGAATAGGAAAATATTTGGTCAACCCACCTTGTTTTTGAACACAACCAACAATTCCTACATACATATCCTTAATGATGTGAATATAAGAATTATTAACTCATTTCTTTTCTAAAACTCTCTAGAGCACTTCTCTTATAACTTTGTTATATTCTTTCACTAAATCAATAAATATCATGTAGATCCTCCTTATTCTTCTTATACTTCTTCATGAAACCTCTCAATAAATGTATAGCTTCAATTGTAAACTTACTAGGCATGAATCTAAATTAATTTTGAGAAACATTAGTATCACAATGAAACTTATGCTCAATAACTCGTGATGTAAGCAACTTAGAACAAAACTCAAAGAGAAAACCAAGTAAATCAAAACTCACTTTTATATAACTTTGAGAAACTTTTGGAGAACACAATAGACTAAATGAACCACTAAGATCATAATAGAAAAGTAGGGATCATCCAAAAAACCAAAGCAACAAGAAAAGTTAGCAAAAGAAACAAACATAAAACAAACAAACACTATCCTCAGAACATCCTACTAGAGGGGTTTTCCTACCATGATCATTGGATTTACCACCATCATTGGATAGCATAAAAATAAAACAAAAATAGAAAATATAACTAATATTGTTCATAACAAAAATAATGCAAAAATCTAAATGCATCAACTCGCTACCATAGTTTTAATATATGACTCATTAATTTTAATTTCTTTACAATTCATGCACTCTTGTG